CTCCTAGTTTTCCATCTCCTCTCATTTTGTTCTCATGGAGCTCCCCTTACCTAGCAATCTCTTAAAAGTTGGTCATTCTTAGGCCCTGTCCCAAGACAGATTCTCTTTTTACTCTATACTAATAACCTTGACCTTAACATCAAAATCTTTAGGCACCGTGTTGACACTTATATTTTTAAAAAATAGCTTCATGATTCTGAGATACCTATTAGCCCACTCTTGTGGCTACAATTAACAATTATATGCTATTGACTCCTCAAGCCTTATCTTTCTCTTGAGATCTAGATATACCCACTTATGTATCATATCCTCATAATCAACACAGTTAAACCTGAACCCATCAAATTGGCTATATCTTAATATTTTTTAGATTTTATCTATCTATTTGAGTCCGTCCCTACTGCCATGATCCTCATTCCAGATGCCATTGTCTACTGAAAAAATATCCTAACTGGCCACCTCCAACCAGGCCATATTATCCAGTAGGCACTGTAGGCACCTGGGCTTAGATGCAAAATTATGTCAGACATGGGAAGGGGAAAATTGCAAAACTGAAATTAATAAATGTCTAAAATATACAATTAATTTAGTCAACTACAAACCAACTTGGTTTTTAATAAATGATAATGTAAGATGAGGGTATAATCTAATGTTTGATAAGATGTGAAGAGTGACTAGAGCTTAGTCTCGCCTTCCTCCCAAGTCTGAGCTGTCCTATGTATACATCTCTATAACACTCTAATTTTCCACTGTGTGGTAGAGACAGCTAGGTGCCTCCAATATTCATTTGCTCTCCTTCTGTCTTAACAATAAAACACCCAATTCTAGTAGGTCGCATGGTTATGTGATATTAAATCTATATTTTCCAGCTTTCCTTACAGCTATTAGGACATTGGGATATAGGTAGAAGTGTACGATTTCCAAGAAATATCCCTACAAAGAGAAAATGCACCTTTTCTCTCTCCTTTCTTCCTTCCTGTTAGTAGGAATTGTGGTATGATGGCTAAAGCTTCATCAGTTGCTTTGAACCATATGTAGAATCAAAAGATATAAGTCTGGGCCCCTATGGATCAAGTAATCACTATACCAGGCCCTTGACTTTACATATGAGAAATAAAATTCTATGTTGTTGAAGCTACTACTATTTTCAGCCTTCCATCACATGCAAACAAACCTAATTTCAATTTATATACCCAGAGAGGGCACTTAGCTCAGAGATGAACAGTCTGGTGACTTGTTGGTTTATTCCAATAAATTAAGTTTGGCATAGGAAGAGAACAGTATCTCTGTAATTCATGGCACATGCCCTGCACATCATCCTTCCCAACACCATTGGAACACACATACGTGCACGCACCATATTTATCTGGGGTCATTAATGGAATTCTCATGCCTCTTTCCAATTTCTCTAAACTCTATTTTTCATCCTAATTCCTTTTCCTCAAAAAATAACCTGAACTTTCTTGGGAAAGAAAATCACCTATAAATTGATACTATTAAATCCAGAAAGCTTACCAATCAACAAAATAGAATGTCCCCAACCAGCTCTAATATAAAGTTCTGATCAGGCCTCAAAAATAATTTGAACATATTAAAATTTCTATATAACATTCTCATATAGGTATAATTCAGATATGTGCATTTGTTTGTATAAAATGAAAAAGTTCATAAGTTTTTATAAACTTCAACTTCTAAAATTTTATGATTCAAAATAGCAAAATACAAATTTTTTGAAAACAAAAAAGAGCTATAATTCAAACAAAAAACCCATTAAGACGGTAAATCAATTTTCCAAATGTAAGAAAAGAAAAATAAGTTACGTACATTGTAAACAAACACCTTGTTTTATTTTCCTTTTTAGTACCCTCATATGCTATCTGTAACATTTTTTTACTTTAATCTCATTTTTGGTTACATATTTAATCCATACATAAATCTGGTGTAGAACCAAACATCTTCATTAAATAAATGATTATTAAATTTACCAATATGCTAAATTTCTTTTTAAATACAGATATCAGAGC